ATTGAAAAAAAAACAAAACTTTTGCACCAAGAGTGTCTTTACAATTATGGCCAGCACTGTAGAAATGTAGGCGTCTCGGTGAATCCAAATTAAGCAAAATGTGCTTGCTCAAGTCACATAAATCCAACCTGCCATCTCCTTTGTGGCCGCATCGTTCAAACATGTAAATGAAATGAACTATATTCCCTTTGTATCTGGTAAAACTAGATTAACACTAGCTGATGAGACGTATCCTTGAGAGCTATAGTTCATTCTATGACGAAAAAAATTGCTAACCAAAAACTGCGAAAAACTAACAAATCGATAGGGGCAATCCATGTGTCCCAAACAAAATGGCATATAACACATGCCCCACCCCATGCATTACGTATGCCAAATCTGGCTCTGATTCTATCACTCCTGTCTTTTTTGGGCGAAATACGAAAAGTGGCTTATTCAAATATTATATAACTATTGATATGTATACATGGTATACATATAATACATATACCTGTATATTGCATGGTATACAGCTTCGAAGTCAGCATTTTACCTTGCAACTGATAGTATGCAGCTTGTTTGGATTAGCCACTTACATTTCTGACATTCTTTAGTAAGCAATTTTTCAATAGAAATGACGAATACTCTCACTTCTATGCAATACGCAAGTTATCAGGTTTGAAGTTTACCCTCTTGATATTGCATTATCATTGAATTAACTCGTCGCTTGGAGCAGAAAACTTTGGCTGATTTCCGTCAACGGACCTGGAGGCGAGTGATCCGAATTGTGCAAATTTTGTGGAAAAAATACCTCGAAAGATTGTTTGAAAATGTTGTGAGAGAAAATGCGTCGAAAAATTATCTGACGGATATGTACAGAAAAAGACTTCAAATCGCTCTGCGGTTACACCTTACTGAAATAATCTAGTATTCTTCTCTTAATCAAGATTTTTTAAGGAACCCTATTTTAGTTGAAATGACCATTGAGTGATAGTCACTAAAATCATTACATACCGAACTCAAGACTACATTCTCGTCCGAACACTCTTTCGAGGAAAATCGGAAGTCAGAACATGGGAAAGGGCATGTTCAACATCTGCAGTAAAAATCAAATGGTTATGAGTGTGTTAGCATATTGTAATGTAGGTCAAAGTTCCCAAGCTTGCAATCAAGCAGAGTTTTGTATTTTGTTTGTGACTCCACAGCTTTTCTAAGAAAGTTGAATTAGATGAGAATAGATTCGATGCAAGAACATCTTGGCCCGTAGTAAATCCCTCGTGGTTGTCACAACATAGAGGGACTATGTCGTGATAGCTCGGAGTATCTCGCAAGACTATAGCGAGCTATCCGCAGGGCGCCGCAAAACGAGCGCCTCCGCGCGTCACTGAACCGCTGATGACCGCGATAACAGCGGTCACACGCTGCGCTATGAGTACAGATATGCCGTGGGGTTTTTGCTTAGCAAGGCAAGAATATAGTATACTATGCTTGCCAGAGCAGGTAAATCAATCAAAGGAAATTCAATAACTAACTATCCTCGCGTGTGCGCGCCTCTTTCTCCATATTTTGACTCATTATCTCATATTCATCAATATTGATAGGAAAACGCAGTTGATCTATGTCTGTTGCAGAATTATGCTTATCTTTGTACACCATGCTGTAAGAAGCGCCATTATCCGCTATGGCAGGACCTTATTTGACTGTTGCCCTCAATAAAAATTGAGCGTGTCAGCCCGTGTCAGATTCGTGCCAGCCCCGTGCCAAGACACAGATGGTCTAGCAGCGCGCATTCGCTGCGCTGTGCTACTACGCCGTGCTTTGCTAGGGAGAGGATACATGTAGCAAATAGAGCAGTTGCAGCAAATCAGTATGGAAAAACGATATGCATGCCTTACCCGTAAGTATTGTTGAAGGGTTAGCTACTACTTTTGCAATTATTGTGAAACAGCTCAACAACTCAACATAGCTTGTAGTTAGCGCAGTGCCAGTGTGAGAGGCCGGTGTGCTAGACCTTGGGGGTACAAGTTCCAGGCGACACTATCTTTTTTTGCTGGCAAACTGAATTTTGCAAAGGAACGTAAATTAGAATTTTCTTTTTGAAAGAAAATGGAATTTAAAGTAATACATATTGAAAGTGTACAAGAAAAATCAAAATATTATCATCAGCATTCAGTCCGTTCAAAAATGAGCTATTCCATTAGCCATAACGCCAGACGGTCTTTTCTTATAAACACGAAAGGAAACGAGAGGTGCATGGCTAACGAACAGCAACCAGCAAAGATATGTGGTCGAAACTGCCAAGAATGATGAAAAGATCAAGAATTTGCGAAAGTTTGGCACAAAGAAGGGACTTTTCGTTCAAACAAGGTGCATAACAAAAATAAAAAAGAAAAACTGCATAAGTACGAAAAATATGGCTAAGTATGAGTCTAACATACTTTTTTAGTTAAAATAAACTCACCTTTTCTCAAATACCAAAGCGGCAGCAGCAGAAGTACTTGGAGAATAGGGAGAGGCGCATTGCTCGAACAGTTAGGCGCTTATCAGCTGTTGATATTGATTGCGGTTGACGTGCGTTATAGAGAACTGTGTGCATGTGCGACCTATTGCGAGGTTGGCGTAGTCGAGCTCTAGTCTTGCGCTATGTCTCTGCGTCTCTATGACGGACAAAGTATTTCGCCGTCTTGTTCGTCACGACATGTCGCAATATGTCGCTATATGTCGCGATATGTCGCGACATATCGCGACAAAGTGCGACTACCCTGACGCTACGCATCGATTGCATCCGCCGGCAATGATAAAGGATAGCCGCTTTGCCAGCCTCGCTCCATGATAGTCAGCACATGTCACAGCATACTCCGAGCTATACGTCACGACGTCCGGGGGGTTTACTACAGGCCCTTATACCAAACTAACTGACGAACCCGGCTCTGCCCGGCCCTGTCGATGATATTTTCGTATAATCAACATGCTCCCATCTTATAGGTGAAACTTTGCAAAAAAACCTATAAAATCGACATTGATCATGGACAAAAGTGGTCTACACACCAACCTCAAGCGATGAAAAAATGTGCAATTGTCTTGTTTATATTAGGTTGTTGCAAAAATAATGTCTGTTTTGCAAAGTTTTAATTTGAAAGGCTATTGTCCAGTCTTCATATTTTTTGAAGTGATCAAAACCATATGAAGCAGTAAACCTTTTTAAGCTGACGCGCACCCGCATTTGCTGATATCACAAACGGGAAGAATACCATGCGTCAAAACACCGAAGATTTTTCTTTTGAAAACCTCGTCTTTGAGAGATTACAACTCTCTTCAAGTTTTGTTCCTTTGGCTGCTAATCAGTTTATTTTGCAGGCACGAGCCAGTAGTATACTTCTGCTTAGAAAAGACTTTAACGGAGGAGCCCTGTGAAAAGAAAAGATAATTCAAAATTGTTCACTTTTTTGAGCCTGTAGTAGGCCAGAAAGCCCCAAACTGTAGAAATTTGAGATTTTTCATACACTGAATAGCTAAGCTTTTCTAAAAAAATGTGGGAAAGATGTTCTGACTTAGCATACAGAAATGAGCGAAGCTTCGGCGATTGCCCTGCTTATGAGAAACTTTGGATCCATAGAATGCGGGGCGTCGATTTCTCGGTTCAGATAATTGAAGAAATCTACTTAAACATGCTATAGGTAAACAAAACCAATGCAGTAGCTATGTTTTCAAAGAACCCGTTCATTTGCGCCTGGGCCAAGGGAGTTAAAGCAACGATTTTTTGATTTTAAGTGCAGCTGTGTGAGATGCTGGTGTTAATTTTACAACTGTGGCCGTATTCATCAACGAATTCAGTGGGTTCCGGAACCCATTGGGTTAGTCCTTTTGATGAATATCGATTCTACCCTGGAGTAGAATCGATATTCATCAAAAGCACTAACCCAGTGGGTTCCGGAATCCACTGGGTTCGTTGATGAATACGGCCACTGGTTGGAAGTACATGAAGAAAACTTTCTGATGTGCAGAATATATATCGAAAAAGAAACTATGAAGGAAAAAAGTTGTTCGGAAAATAGGCCCAGAAAAACGGACATTATTGTTGCGACAACCTAATACTTGTGAATAAACAGGGTAAAATTTCGATATTCTTATAAATTCACTAGCCGTGTAAAAATTATTTTCAGGGGCGGCAACTACGCACCCTTTTTCTAAAAATTTTTTATGAAAATGGCTTAGCGAGCATAACCTTTCAGCCCTTGAGTACAGCCATGAATTCAGCCAAGACCGCTTATGAGGAGGTGTTGCAGTTCCAAAAGACAACATGTTTCCATATCAATCTCGTTCCTTGCTGATATCGTTATCACATCACGTGTGCGCACAAAACTTGTTCCGTACTCTCGCTTTTTCGCTTTCATAATGCGTCCAATGATCTTCACTGAAGACCAAGCCTCAGCCTCCACAAAATAATGTGAAAGATATGATATTGAAATACTTTCGATTAAACATATTGAGTACATATTTTTAGGGGTTTGATACTAAAGGATTTTTCATCTTTCCTGTTCTCTATAAATTTCCTTAAAATATCCAAGTTCTGAGTGTAAACCGGCACGGCCAAATAGATTTAGTCGCATATAGCGTCCCTGTCACAGTGATTCACTGTGAAACAAGTTCAAGCTCTTTTCACAAAACAATGTTGCGCATAGTGTGAATGACACAATTTGGATTATGGGAAATGGGAGTAAAAGGTAACAAGGTTTGGAGGCATCGCATCAGCTCTTAGGTGTTTAAAAGGCTTTCAACCATGCATGCAGTTCCCAAAATATGCAAAAAAATGCTCTTTACCCGCGAAGTTTGGAGTGTCGTTTTATCAGACACTACAGCGTAGTACCGATAGGAATGAAAAGCATAACAAGGTGGACTCTCTGCTCTTCACATCGATAGTCTTGGCTGCACCCATGAGCAAGAATTCGGCAGCAGACTTCCAACATTTCTTATTGTATCTTAAGCGCTTTTTTTGCTGTCGTATAAAATGTTCTTCTCACAGATTCTTTCTACAATTATCAACTATTTTTTACCAGCATGTCTACTCTTGGTGGCGGAGTACTTCGCTGGGATAGCGATGGCAGTGTGCTATCTGAGGAACAGAAGCAGTTTTATGAAAAGAATGGATACCTGCTCATCAGAAATTGTGTGCCCAGCTATGAGCTCGAACGCTATAAGGATAGATTCAAGGTAGCCTGTTCACATAATAGAGCAAAGATGTAAGTAGTATTTTTTAGGAAATCTGTCAAGGCAAGGATGTACCGCCAAATATGACGATAATGAGAGATGTTGCCATCGCTAAGTCGGAGTTTGTCAAGGGTGAAAAGGCAATAACGAAATTGCAAGATTTTCAAGATGATCCCGTACTTTTCGATTACTGTCAATATCGAGGGGTAAGCAGCAAACCCAGACTTAGTGGTGTTGATTTCAAATTATGGATTATAGGTAGTTGATGTCGTCAAAGATCTCATCGGTACAAATAAGAGCAATCTGATGGCCATGCACACCATGCTGATCAACAAGCCGCCAGACAGCGGTACGTAGTGCTGGATAATGTACATTTTTTCGTAAGAAGAAATTTTTCCTATTGGTTCAAATTTGAGTAACCTTTTTTTACCGAATATTCCCTGACCTGGTAATCACTAATCAAAACTAGTTCTAATCAAAAATAAGCAGCAACGGAATTCTTCTCAAACAGGAAAGCTCACCTCCCGCCATCCTATGCACCAAGATCTCCACTATTTTCCCTTCCGACCTGCCGATTTCATTTGCTGTGCATGGACTGCTATGGAAAGAGTTAACAGAGCCAATGGTTGTCTAGTGGTTGTACCTGGCACCCACAAAGGGACCCTATTACCTCATGAATATCCCAAGTGGGAGGTGAGCCAAAAATCATCTGCTCATACCTTATGAATCTAGAAGTTCAGGGTGGTGTTAACAAAGCCTATCATGGCATACAAGACTATGATCCATCAACTCCGAGAATCCACGTAGAAATGGAAGCTGGCGATACTGTATTCTTCCATCCCATACTTATTCATGGTTCCGGTGCCAACAGAACTGAAGGTGAGAATTTGACCCGAATTATTTTTTGCCTTTCTGGCTCGTAACTGGTACGGAACGACCATGCTCTTACTTCGATTTTCTTTAATGACAGTTTTCTCTACAGACGAGGAATCTCATTCTTAGCGATGTCTGCACATCTTTGACTATTTTAGGTTTTCGTAAAGCCATCTCGTGTCATTATGCAAATGATGATCTTTGTCGCTATATCGACGTGAAAAATACAACTCAAGAGGTACTTTTCATTCATGGTTTTTTTTTCATGTAACGATAAAGGCTTTTACGCGCATGTCGCACCTTCATGAGGCTCACAACTTTAGAGCAGAACCATTACATGTTTATGTTCGCAAATGTTGCGTGTAAATCATGAATTATTCGTAATTGCTTATATAAGAAAATGCAAATTACAGCGACTCAATCCTTTAGCGACATTATGCATGTTTGCCATTGCGGTAGAAAATAAGAATTTCAACGAAAATTCTGCTCTAACAATAAGATCACCTAATCTATATGTACGATCGAATGTGACATTACCTGTCTTCAGAAGGCAACGTGAAACATATGTTTGTAGATTAAAAGCAATTAATTATGATTTCAAAGAACTATAGATAGTTCCGAGTCTGATTTTCTTACCATAATCAAAGTGAATATTTGGCAAACAATCTGGGCAGTAGTCATTTCCTGTTAGTACATAAAGAGCAATAATTTTAATTTACTTACAAGGGAACCGTGTCGAGTCGAAGTGGCCTTTCCAGATGAGACCCATACTGCTTTGAAGAGTATTAAGCGGTGATTCCAAATCTGCCAAGCGCCTCTGGACGCCGAGTTATGACCGTTCTTCGGAACGAAAAATGAATGCAGAATTTGGGTAAAATTGATTGTTACAATCTTTCCAGCGCTCAGATAAAGCAATGTTAAGTATTAGCATAATAAATAAAATGTATCCATTGCATAAACAGCTCTAATACTTGACATTGGACCATTTGAGCAAATTTGGACGATTTTGCTTCAGTTTTGCGTTCAATTTTTTGACCTGAAAAACGAGCATAACTCGGCGTCCAGAGGCGCTTGGCAGATTTGGAAAGCAGATTGGGAATCATCGAATAATGCTCTTCAAAGCAGTGTGGGTCCCATCTGAAAAGCCCACTTCGATACTACGATACTTCGATACTCGACACGGTTCCCTTGTTAGATGTTAAGCACCGCATGCATCATTTTCGCTAACAATAACTATCATTATCTTAATTCGTTCCTAATAAACAGGGGATAGGTAAAGCAAGAACCTACTCTTCTCAAAATTCACTTATAAAGACCCTATTTTTTTTACCAAATGCTCAAGTCGCTAAAATATGCTGATTTTTAGAGCACATTCACGTTTATAGTGATGGAAGCACAAATAGCAAGGGAAAATTATTTTATATGTTTGGATTTTATTATATGTAATTGTGAGACTTCACAATAATCTGTTTTCTATTTACCAACAATAAGCAACAAGTTTCGAAATCAGTTTCTTTTGAGTAGCGGTTATATTGAGGTTAAAGAACAATCATTCAATTCTTGTGTGTTATTACTGATTCGTCAAGATAATGGAAGGTAGCTAGAACTCTCCTGTCACTACACGCTTCATTCAGAACCTGTCCAAGGAAATTATCGACATAGTAAAAAGGCGCATTTCAAAAAATAGCGGAGACGCCGACGATGTGCAAATCGACTATTCGGTAAGGCTATGTGTCTGATAAATAATCCATTCCAATTTTGAAGTTTGCTTCCATAACTACAAATTAATTTTTCCAGGATATTTGGCGCCTGCGAGCCAGAGCTGTGAATGGAACACGTTCGAACCTATGAGCCAATCGGAATTCTTCTCCAGAATATTCGTTTGAACTTGTGTCAGGACGCAATACATGTATCATGCTCAATAAAATATTTAAAGCACGTTTTACTCTGCATTAAGTCAAATTTGACCTACATTGAGGAGTTCTAAGTTTTTGGAACGAGTCTGTTAAGAGGAACCTAAAACCAATTCGTGATGTTTCAAAATCACTTCGAATCTAGCATGCAAGTTCTAGTAGACTAGATATGTAGTAAACAGTAGATTTATCTAGTAAACAAAAAAGTATGAGTGCACTTGGAACTCTAGTGCAATGGTTTTTCCGTTCGCTAGTGCAATGCGTTCTGATTGCTCAACATTGCGCAACCATTGTCAACCACGACAAGACGGATATCGTCACTTTACAAGCTCTTTTCCTCCAAATTATCGCATCATTTCATGGTCTTGTTTCCACTTCCTTGCAAGTTCTATCATTGTTGTGGACTGTTTGATTTTGTTTTGACGATTTTCAATTGTTGACAGACTTCTGCATTCATTTTTTGAGCGCGTTCCTTGATTTATTGATGCAAACGTTGCAAATGCCGTGTGCAAAATAAGTCGAGTTGAAAAAACATGGCACTTTCAAGTCGGTCATTGATGCCCAAGATTTTTGGAATCGATTTTGACATGCTATAGCAAAAATTATTATAAACACATTTACAGAACTTTCAAAGCGCAAATAACTGGTAGTAGAAATATTTACCGTTGTTTATGTGGAGTCGTTTCGTCTTGACTTTGAAACAATAGTACCATCCATCTATCCCGAATAAATTTGAAGATCAAGCAACGTATTCGTGGGTCCTAGAATCATTTTTTGGTGTATAACTTTTTACGAATATTACACCTGTTTTTTGTGCAAAGAAAACAAGAACAGGAAACACTTCTCTCAAACTCGCTTCCGATCAAGAAAATGATTCTGCAAGTTGCTTTGATGCGTATCCTTATTCAGGTGAAGCTTCGTTTACGAAATCTGAAGCACAATTGAAATAATTAGTACTTTAGTACCTGAAAGTGCGAAAGAATTACCTTCTCGAAATCTTGTCGAGACTGTAATTTAGTGGAAGTATATACCAAAAGTAGTTTCGAACGCATTCTTTTGTTCATGAAATCAAAAGTAGCGAGACAAACAATGAGTCGAGAGCGTTATTATTGGGACGGTTGGAAACTATTGGTTGTCTTGAAGGCACTGTCCAGGTCCACTGGGGAGTGGTGGGATCTTGACGAAGTACGAGAGCGACATCTCCTGACAAACCCATCGGTTCAAATCTCATAAAAAAATGCTCTGAAGCGAGAAAATTGCTGCGGAGAGTCGACAAGAGGAGCAATACTCTAATCCCGCTTCTATTAGGTGGAATCCCGCCCATCCCGCAGTTTCCTACAGTTGCAGCAGAGCACGTCTCGTCCATTACTTTTCCAAAGGGACTCTCGAAAAAGGGTTTTGCGATTTTTGGATAGTTTGAGGGGCAGATTAGGACCCAGCAGGTCGGCAACAGTCAAAAGCCCAAAGAGAAAAATTCCACCTGGACAGTGTTCACGCCAAATGTTGTGAATGAGTAATGCGCAGGTGATCAAATAGACGCGCTGGGTCGTTTTGATTCCACAATCCTGGGTTTAACCTTAGAAAGGCTAAAGGAGAGTAAACATTATGTATTGCTGATATGCGTAGCTGGAGATTGAAAGGTAGGGCTGATATCGAACATTAATTGCAATAGTATTAGAAAGCTTGTATCGTCAGTTGTCCTTCTTGGCTTACCTGCTGTTCTTACAAGTGACATTAGCCCAGCGTGCATAAGTCTCTTTCTCTCTCACTGTTCAGAAGCCTACTAATTTTGAGATGTTGGGAGAGCGGGGGGGGGGGGGGGGGGGGGAAGAGTGGTATCAGTGGCTGAATCCACTTGAAAGTCGAGTAAGGGACTGTTCATCAGAGTGTTGCGATCGTTTAAATAACTTTTCTACTCAAGATGTACAAGTCTCGTAACTCAAAATATTTCACCTCTAGAGTAGATTTCTGAATTTTTGACGAGTAAGCTTTATAAGCTCCTTGTATATTCTGTCCACACATTACTGCACATTTAACAACATCAATATTTCTAGATATTCTATGTCGTTTGAAATACAGTGGTTCGCCCAAGAATTTGCGAGCGGCAGCAAGGAAAATCTTCTCCAAGATCGTAGAAAAGCTGCGCAGCGATATCACGAACTGAAGAAATGCACCGCCATCGTTTACAAGACACTTTATGATCCAGCTGGAACGATCAGTAAGGTACAATTTAAGTTTATATCCGCTCTCTAATCCAGTCTATCTCCGACTAGAGTGCAAATTGGCTCAAAATGGTTAGGTTTTTTTTTTCAGAGAAAACAAAGACGTCTAAGGTTAGCGTCCTCACCCGACTTTCAATTCGACGTTCCATATTCGCTAGTACTCTGCGTTGATACCACTGCTTTAAATGCAATTTTGTCATTTTTTCTATATTTCATTTGATTTTGCGCTGACACAGGTCAATCCAAAGTCGCTTCTTTTCGATTGTGGGAATGATTTTGAAACCGCAGTGATTGAAGGTGTGGCAGTTTCTGGACACGGTATATTGATCCAACTTTCATTTTAAAGGAAAAACATAGGCGTTCAGTTAGAGAAGAGTTTGAATTGTTCTTGTATCTATCCTCACGTAATTGCTGTTCTGGAAAAAAATGGAAATCTTTTTGGTTATGAAGAGTAACAAAATCATAATTTAGGCAGTCTTGAATCTTGTCGTGTTAAAAGAATGCATACGCTTGGAAATGAGGCCATTTCTTCTATTTCCATCTCTAGAAAAACAAAAGACGTAAATGTGAATATGTTTTGTTTTCAAATGTTGAAAGCAGCCGTTGCAGCTAGCTTTGGACAGTGCTCTTCAAGGATTGAAAACAAACGATTTGAGCACCCCTCGAATACTTTTTACTATAGTAAGACAGAACCTTAAAACGGCTCGTCACAGCAGTAAGAAAAGGAAAGGTAAGGTCATTGTTTTGTACTTGCTTTCGAGCTAAATGTAATTCATCATATAATACCATAGGTTCATAAAATTTGCTTAGAAGCTTTCCTTTGATTTACTCGTACAGTCTTCCATCATTCCGTCTCGTTTATTTTCTTCATTTTCATACTTACCATCTTCTTAGAATGTCTTTGTTTTGTTATCGTCCCTAAAGGACCCCAATATATCTATACATATCAGTGGCGTACCGAGGGGGGGGGGGCGGGGGGGGGGGGGGGGCGCGCCCCCCCCCCCGAGAACGGGTCGCAAAATTTTTGAAAATTACTTACATGCGTTATAAAAATGTGCAAATGACTTGTTTATTTTTGTAAACAATTAAAATAATTTTTAAAATTTTTTAAAAATTCAAATTAGCCTTATAAAAAAAAATTTTTCGGGGGCGTGGCTGACGCCACGCACCTTCATTTGAAAAATTTTTTTTGCCGCGCCCCCCCCCCCCGAGCCGAAATCCTGGGTACGCCACTGATACATATGTATGTAGTTCTGTCTCTTCTTCTCAATGAATACCTAAGCAATCTCATTCACTTCGTATCCTTACTTATTTTCTGCTCAGTTTTCTTTTTGATAAGAAAAGTTTTTGACAAAAGCGCCACAAATTCAATCTGTCTGCAGATACTCTATCGTTGATTTATCCCATCACAGAACTATGGCCAAAAGGGGGTTCAAGTTTGAAAAATCAAGTTAGAGCGCTCCAGAAAGTACAGTGGCGCTCATATGCAAAAAAAGACAAAGACTTCACCTAAGTTCACCTCCGCATCGCATCGCCATATCTTGGTTCAGAGTGGACGAATTCTGAATCCATGTGCACCGTTCGACTTTCTGATACGTAGAAGTGCTCGTATCCGTACGGTAGGCGGTTAGAATTCACATATATTTTTTTTCGTTTACGGTAGGCAACTTAGTGTGTTCATCATCTGTGAGCAGACTACCGTTGGCAAAATAGTGTGAAATCTGAGCGCCTACCGCGCAACTACCTTATCCAAACGGGGACGTTTATATATAGAAAAATGCATTTCGTCGACTTGAGTTATACGGTGCCCTTGGATTCAGATTTTGTCCACTCTGAACCAAGGTATGCCGTGGAGTTCGATGACTTTTTTGACCATATACAAGCCATATCGCACATAGCAAGGGTTCCATTGTGATGTCTCGAATGTTCTGCATTGTGCTAAATCTGAGTGTTCATACTGTTGAAATGAAAAATGAATTGGTTTTACTTCTTTGAACAAGTAATCGATCAAACCTACTTCGGGAAAATTTTTTGCGAACTGTAACAGAGAATCACGCTCACTATCTTCATCTTTCGTCGTAAACGGTTCATTATCCTACAAAGTTAACATCAATCGTTGGATTTGAAACAATATTTAGTTTCAGTGACTTAACCTCTGCCGTTCAAATGACCAGGGCTCGGCACAGGTGGCTTACAAGCAAGCTGGATATCGTTTTTGGGACAAAAAGCAAAGGGGGTTTCGTTTTTGTGACCGAAGAGAGGCGCAAAATTTTAGTCGACGTTTCGTTTTTTGGGGATTTTGAGGAATTTTTCAAGTTTTTAGAGAAAATTTGATTGAGGGTCAAAGGGGACTTCGTAAAAATTCCCAAAAGTCAAGGGGGACTTCGTTTTTTCCATTTTCATCTAGCCACCTCGTGCTGAGCCCTGCAAATGACTGTAGGCAACTGCATCTCTCAGTCACAGTTCGCATATAACGTGATGCTTCGCGTTTAGCTACGAGAAGGCCATTAACTTCGTTAGATTGCTTCAATGAGGACACTGATGTATACGAAACTTGCTGGACGTCTAAATCTGATACGGAGCTCACTGAAACAGAATCACCTCACCGGTAAGAAATGGTAAGCCTGAGTTTTCCTTCTGAAATTTGATATGTTCAGTTCCGATATCACTCTTGGAGATTTTATCCCTTCGTCTGCATCTGAGTCTAGTGCTTTTGAAATTCTTCCCAGGAGAGTAGAGAGAATTCCAGCATCTGACAAAGAGGTAGTGGAATTCTACCCAGCTGATGCAATACATGCATTTTCAGAAATACATAAAGAAGAAGACTTTTCCAAAATTGGTGGATATCTCCGCAGACGTCCGTGCAAAGTGCATCTTTGAAATTGTTGACGTCAGTTTACAGAAATGGCAACCGTTCAATCTACGTCAAAAGGCATATAAAGTGTTGCTGAATGGGAAACCTTTTTAACAATACTTCATTTACAGGTAATAGATTTGGTTCCTACCCTTCCGCATGATACATGTGGTCCATGCTCTATAAAGTGGTTCTCACCCTGGAGAGTGTGCATCTCAAATCAGCCCATTTCACAGAATCTATTCGCAATATTTTTCGAATTGCGAAATAATTCGCAAACCCTTAGGTGAATTTGTGAAATCCCTTGCTTGATAGTTTAAAAGAAGTAAGACTTTTCAGAGTTCGTGTAAATACAAACACTCGGTATCCTCCCTACGCTGGACGAAATGCGCTAATCCAAATGATAAAAAGAATGAGGGACTTCGACACTTTATTTACTAGTTTGATGGATTTTATTTGGAAAACATGGAAGTGGTGAGAGGCTTTTCCACTCTACCAATACGCATCAAAATAAATTTTTTTGCAGGAAAACTAACGGAGGAAGTAGTCGCATCATTAAAAAATTTGATAATTTTTTACCCGTGGTGAATAGCAGCCTGATAGCTGTAGCTGTGAGTTTGTACTTTTCTCGACGTTTGTGTATATCGTTTGGCACACATGATAGATATATGGAAATATGCAGTTTGCTCATTACATATCCTTTCTTTTACATAACCTTTTGTTAGATTTTCTGCCTAAGCACATTGATCACAAATCTGCATAAGCGCAGATACTTTCGTAGTAGGCTGATAAGGAATTTTTTAGGCACTCAATTTTTTCTGGAAAATTCTGGAACCTAAAAAGTCTCAATCATACCTCAAGGTGTAGAGAGGTGAAGGTGCTATGGTCCATACATATTTTTTCTTTTCACTGCATTGGAGATTATTTTCTAGTCCTTTTTTTCTTTCTTTCTTCTCACAGCGTCACAATATACTGAATACTTCTCCGGTGAAGAGACGAGGGTCCCAGTTTGAAAAGCGATATCATATCCAGAAATAAAGGATTCTTTGAAACTCATCTGTTGTGTAGATATTAGGGTGTCTCATTTTTTTGCCGCTTTTATCCTATACGCCAGCATTTCTCGAGAACTGGTGGACCTACAAAGGATACAACTACATGATCGTACCTCTGTATGTGTGAGCTATATGATCACATGCGTGGGAGGAGCTCAAGACGTCTAGGGGAGGAATATGCCATTTTACCTCATTCATTTTTTCTTTATTAGCCATGAAAAAAAGACGGGAATAGCACAATTTGATGTGCGATGTGTCAAGCTTTTAGATGCTTTGGGGCGGAGATACGATTTTTGAGAGAGAAGTTCGCTTTCGATCACCATCAGATTCCAGCTTTAAAATTCACATGGGATAGGATTTGGGCAGACTTTTGATAGCATCTAGTAGAGCTTGCTTTGCCCTGTCGAATGATTACTCGGGCCAAATCAGATGAAGATAAGATACAAAAAGTCGGCTATTGCAGTAAAAAGGTAAAAAAAATTATGAGACTATTTAATAATTTTGGGGTCGGGCAAAAAAAGGGTTTCTGTCGGAACACAATGAATACGAATGAATCTTTTACTAGTTGTAGTGCCACTTCTCGTTCCTTTTGCAGCAAAGATTGCTTAAAATCGCGGAATTCCATAATAAATGATTTGCACAGAAATGAATCACAATCCTGACTACGATTTTATCATATTTCCATTAGATCATCGGCGGGAGTAAGCCAGCAAACTGACAAAAATAACCACAAAAATAGTTTTTTATCTATTGCTCCATAGCAAAGACGGCAATAACGAATACTAGCAACCAGAGATTGTGTTTAGGCCCAACGATGTGAAGTATATGACCAGCTGGAATTTATCAACGAACGATGTCACTTCCAAGCTTTTGAGGACGAACCAGGCATGGAAGTGGGTGTCCAAGATAACCTTTCTCATGTCCATGTTTGGGTATCACATTCCCATATTACAATTTCAGTACATTCGTGAGCCTTGTACTAGCTGTCAGTCAACACAGAAAGATGATCTGTTTCCAAACAAGCTCGGTCCGATCTGCAGGGATTGTCTTGTATCAAGAATGCTTCACCAGCTTCGTCTCAAGCAATTCCCAATACAGATACCGGTATAAATTCGTTTAAAGCAAGAGCTTACACTCGTTATACTTTCTTAGGTTGTCACGGTGGAAGATCGCTCCCCATTGGAACTCCTCTACGCTGTTCTTCCCGCTCGAGTAATGTCCACTTTCTTAGAAGCAAGAGCTTTGAATTTTCTTCATATCTGACCAGTGCGTCAACCGTAATCAACTCTAACATGCTACAAGACAAACACAAAGACAACGAAATGAGATGATGCGACCGTTAAGCGCAGCTCACCTGTGTCTATATGAATGGAAAAGTATAAAGCATTCGAGAAATCTTGACAATGGCGCGGCATGCAGCTTCCAGCAACCGCTTTTTCTGGTTGCTATCTCCACTTGAATGGTTTTTCTGCTTACATACGACAGTATTCAGACATTGAAAATGACTGAGCTGGGAGCTGAGGTGATGTCGGTTTGTATGAGAATTTTATGCTCTTGTGTGCGCAAAGACTGCAGTCAAACTTGTCGTCACGGTTTCAAGACGTATACTAGGTTGCTGCTAAATTGCCGCAGATTTGTTGGTCGTTTTATGTTCAAAAAGGCTATTTCATAAAGCTCCCGCGTTCACTGCGGTAAAGTTTGGTTAAGAAAGATTTTTCTTGCTTTTTTTGACACACCTTTAGTAATCTCAATAGAATTCAAACATCGTAAGTGCTAGAGTAAAGCCTCGGGTAGAGTTCACGCGATTTGATCGTCGCGATTCAATCGCGATAAGACAGCTGTAACGAGTTCATTGCATCCGACCAGCTTGCATTTCGGTTGTGATACTTTTCCAGCCCAAAATTTTTGAATGTAAAATGAAAATGAATGAAAATCGCGGCGATTGAATTGCGACGATCAAATCGCGTGAACTCTATCCGAGGCCTAAAGCAAGTACAAGTGGGATTCCCCCCCCCCCCTCACCAATACCGCTTTCATAGCTCGCGACAGGTAAAACTCATTGTTAAAAAAGCCATAAATGCATGTACTACAGCGGGGTCAAGAAGCGGTTTTTTTGTTTCGCCCAAAAATGTTATGCTTGAAAGACTTTCTGCTTCCATCGATTCTTACAAGGAAGTATGGCTATGTCAAAAAAGAAAGGTTTGATAAAAACATCGTGAAATTTTTTCAGCTCTCACTTCTTCCTTATTTGTCTTTCTCCTTAGACATAGTCTGTCTATTATAGCCACAAGCTTGCTTAATACAGAAAATTGGAAAATTTTGGTCCCAAGAGAAATTATATACTTTAGATTGAAAAACTGCAAAAGATCAAAACGGGCAGAACTTTTGCAGTGTTCTGGTATGATTCACAAATGCTACGTATTTTTGGAGCATAAATAGGCTGACGCCAAACGAGTCACAGACATTTCGATGCGCCATCTGAGTACCCTTGAGAGTCCTTCCAAATTTCCTCTCGAATATCGCAGACTACGTGATTGTGTGGATCATTTCTTAATGAGAACAAATATTGAGCTGAACAAAATTTCAATTTGTGCTTGCATCATGTTATAGCAACTTAGGATATTTTCAGAAGTATAATAATGAAATACTATATTGTTAGAGCTATTGAGCTTACGAGCTTTATAAAAGGACAAGCTTCAAAGCCTATGCAACAAAGATGAGAAAAACAAAATCAAAATGGATTTGAATGTTCTTACAATTAGTCTTATCAATGCTCAGTTCAGATGTCTTTCAAACATTTCTACGCGGAGGAGCACCCAGAAGCAATGTTCACGCGATGTCCTGCATGTGCAACTTGTCTTATCATTGATAATCCCAAAAGTACTTTCGTTTTTCATAACTGGTACTACCCAGCATGCCTGATCTTCAAGGGTTCTCCAACTGCGCTTGTCCAAGATGTAGATGCTATTTCTGCCACTATTGTCACTCAGAACCGCACTGGCCGATGGGTTGTGACGAGTTCAAAAAGTGGAGGGAAATATGGGATGAGCAATGTAAGTCTTGAATCTGATGTTTTCTACATAGAAATTCTAATTTCAGATGTGGTAGAAAAGCTTTGCCCTGCAGATGACGAGAAAGTCTTGCGCATCAAATGTATTTGCGGTCAAGTATTTCATGTTGGTTATCATTGCTTATTTTGGTATCAGAGCTTTATTTCATATTTTGCTTTAGGCCTGCGAAAGTTTGGCTCATGGAACTTATTGCCCTAATCATTGTGGTCATCGCTTTGACAAAGTTGGGTTGATGCGAAATCAACGTGATCTCTTTCGCTGCCTTACTCCTAGAGAACGGCAATTAATAATTTTGAGAGATGGGGAAATTGTGAAAAAGGTGAGTTACTTACATCAATTTGCTTTGGAGAAGAGTATCAATATCCATTTCCAGGGTAGGGGGAAGGGGTCAAAGACGGTTCCAGAGATACTTTTTGATAATTTTCTGACCATTTTTTTCACGTTTTGAATGTCTTTACCATCTAGTGAAAGGTATCAGTAGCGGTTTGGAATTTCTATACGATTTTGATAGGTTTCGAGCACCTATCTGAGATTGTGGTGCGTAGATTAGGATTTTGGCACGACCCTGACATTCTCAAAAATGTTCTTGATGCTAGTTCAAAAGCTTCAGCTTACACTGGTCAAGCACATGATTCCAGGGTATACCCATTTCCACGACTTTTGTCGAACTAAAGGGAAGAATTAGGAAAAAATACGCTTTCGTAAGTATTGCTCAATATCAATTCAACATCTTATATATTAGGTTGATTCATAATTAATGCACGTTTTTCGAAATTCATCTTCAAAGAGCCGTAATTCTTTTCCCACATCATTTTTCAAAGAGCAATAAGAACTGTTGCAAAGAGCAAATCTTTGGCTTTACAACGCATACTTTTGTTTATAGATAAATGTGACGAGAAAGTTTGTACAATCCGAAAAATGCCAAAAATTTTTTTCAGAAACCTCTATTTTGAGAAAGCATAACCTACTCTTAAAGTTAGGAGGAAAGCGCAAACTTTGTTCATTGTGCAGCCAATGGTCAGGAGAGCAGTGGCAAAAAACTCGAATTTTACGGTAATTTTCTACGACGAGATACTGCAAAATGTTCAAAAGTGATCATTTTTTCTAGCTTTTTCAGAAGAGCGAAAAATTGTCTTTTTTGAGAATTTTTAAAATTTTTGCCATTAAAAAGCTGTAAAATTTCACCGTTTTTCTAACACTCAGTGTGCTATGTCTATTGTTTGTGCACAAAGCAAAATCGCAGTCATTGGTTTTTGTTCTAAAGTTTTATACGACTTCGAAAGGCCACAACGATTGGCCAAGTTTGTGGTTGAATCTCTCATCTCAGAACTTTTGCAATATTCTGCTTTGTAGAGATTTTTATAGCAGAAAGTTTCGCGATTGTTAGGCACATTTTTTGAAAATAACATCTTTTGTTTTCATGGAATTAGAGCAAAAAGAATGAAAGGAAAAAATTTCACGTCTTAGTCCCTCATATTCCGAAGCGTGGAATTCGGTATCATACAGAGTGTCACGAAAAAGAGAGGATGCACAAGAAACTAGAAGAAGCGCTCTTTCAGATAGCATTGAAATTTTTGGGAAAGGTACAGTTTCCTTGATAAACCAGCGCTTGGAAAAAGAGGTGACAAAAACGTGCATTAATTATGAATCAACCTAATATAAAGCTGAATGTCTGTTTGTCTGTCTGTCTGTCTGTCTGTATGTATGTCTGTCTGTCTGTCTGTATGTCTGTACGATGTTCCGAATAGAAAATTCCATTTCTGAACCGATCGGGACCAAACTTGGCACACATACACTTCGGGCCCCGGCGGGTGTCATAGGCTACTTTTCGTCATCGATCGATATCGATTTTATCGATTTTTTGCAAAATTTGAGCTACGGGGCTAGGAGTTGGCACAGGGGGGTAATCGAGCATGCTGATCACCCCCGTGGGGGTGATCAGCATGCTCGATTACACCCCCTGCCAAATTCCAGCCCCCTAGCTCAAATTTTGCAAAAAAATCGATAAAATCGATAAAAGTAATGCACGGTTTCGAAAACTAATATTGTATTCGTAATCAGCATGCTCGATTACCCCCCTGTGCCAAATCCCAGCCCCCTAGCTCAAATTTTGCAAAAAATCGATAAAATCGGCACCAATCGATAACGAAAAGTGGACTGTGACACCCGCCGGGGCCCGAAGTGTATGTGTGTCAAGTTTGGTTCGGATCGGTTGAGAAATGGAATTTTCTATTCGGAACATACGGCGGAGCCGGGTAAGCCAGCTAGTTCGCGATAAATTCAAATTTTTTAGATCTGCGCCGAAGCAAAGAGTCTGCGTTTCGATACTGTTGTGAGGAAAAATCTTAGGAAGAGTTTGAGAAAATATTTTTCTTTCCGAGACCGTCGAGAAATATTGGATTTGAGAACAGCAGTAAGCTTGCCAGTATGCATTCTTGAGGAGGAGGGGAAGAAGGGTGCTGAAAGAATTTTTTTTTTGAGTAAAGGGGGAGTGATGTAACATTATTCACGCTTCATGTAAGATTTGGATTGCTTTTCAAATTTTTAACGAGCTCAGAAATTCTTGGAAAAAGCAAAAAGCGGCTTTTGACTTTTTACAGGCTATCAAAAATCTTTTATTTTTTGAAATATATCAGATGTAAATAAAATGACCCACTTGCACAATTTTATAAGCCACAGATTTACAGAATCCATTCTCTCCCCATCCCCTTCCTCTCTCCTCCGAACTTCCTTCCCCTCCCCTCCCCTCCACCCACTACTTTTATCTCCCATTGTGCTAGGCAGTCCTTGTTTTCAGGCTCTTTTTCTCGTTGAAAACGGTACAGCATGGCTTTATCTCCACAAAAATCATAATGCACTAAGGCATCTTCTGTCAGATGTACTGAAACTGCTCAATCTCGTTAAAAGTATTGAGAGGAATATGAAACTCAGGTACGCGGAAACAAAAATTTGAATAGTCATCAACATGCGCGGTTTTCTATTTAGGGACTGCTCCTCCCTCTTGGAACTCAAAAAGGAGGTATTCGACTTAATCCGCGCTTTTCAAAGAGCAAAGTCATTGTAAGAGGAAGAAGGAGCAGCTCCAGCAAACTGAGAATGCGGCTTGTACAGTACCAACACTGCCGCCTTGAAATTCTGCGAAATAAACTCGTTGTCGCGCCGTATGTGCCGCATTGCGATAGCTTGCTTGAGCTTCAGCCAATTGAACTCTAGCTTAAATTTTTGAAACTAGCTCCTTTTGGACAATCTGAAAATGTTTTCAAAAATTTGAAAATCTCGTTTGCAAAGAACTTTTTTTGGGACCATCGGCGGTATAAACGCATTGTCGCGTTGGTATCGCCGCGCCCCCATAACTTTCTTCAACCCAAACATATGAAATTCTAGTTTGAATATTTGGAACCAGCAACTCCTAAAATACCTGAAAACGCTTTCGAAAACCCCAAAATCTTATTTTTAAGCTTTTTTGGCTCTACGCCAGCGGCGATATAAACGCAATATCGCGCTGAAAGTGCCGCACTACTGTAACTTGGCTCAGATCTCTTCAATTGAAATCCTGATAAAATATTTGAAATCAGCGTCCTTTTATTTGATTATGAGTTTGCTCAAATTTTGCAAAATGTTTTGTCTTGGTACTTTTTTACAATATCTAGCGAAATAGGCGACGATATGAACGCCATGTCGCGTCGGAAAAGCCGAATCGGTGTAACTTTCTTCATGCTTTCTCTATCAAATTCCAATTTTGGTATTCAGAACAAACGAGTTCCGAGCAATCTGAGGATATCCTCAAAGTCTGAAAAATCCCAAAAATTTTTTCCACATTTTTTTGGTCCCTCGTAGTGCCTTAATTAATCAGGCTGGCTCTGACCATAGTTGCAGTGACCTCAGTGTATCGATTTATTATCAAAATCTTAATAATATGACACATGAAAGTGAATTTGGAACTTAAATATGTAGTCTGGTCGTATAATTCTAGAATCGTATACGGGTTTCATGATTTTTCATTTTGAAAAATCAAATTCGAAATTTTCAGAAAATCAGGTAATTTGTTATTTTAATGTTACAATTGACATTGAGATGCTTTGTCAATAATTTCTTTTTATCAACTATGAGACAGGTTGATTTGGATGTTTAAGGATAGATCATCTCGCAAACGCGAAGTACAAATTTCAGTAACTTATAAATTTCGAGGCTATGCGCATAAGGCAAAATAGCTTCCTACCAGTATAGCTCAATGACGCTCTGAACGAATATATTGAACTGAATCTATTTTACCAGATACACGCAACTAAATGAGGTGCAGGTTCCACTGATAATGTGATCCACTTTGTCAAGACCTCAGTGTAAACCATCAGCCGCTTGTGGGGTCAACTTCTTCTGTATACAAAATGGTATCTGCTATTCTACATACTCATTTGTGAATATCTGGTTCCAAGAGAGAACAATGTGGGGATTGGTCAAGTGTGAAGCAACCGGTGAATTCTGCAGTTTTCGATTGATTTCAGTACATTTAAAGACTGACAAATTTCAATATTTTAACTTTTCGAAAAATGCCACTGGAAAATTCCTCAATAGGATATTCTAGCATCACCGAGATATGTCGCAATTGCTTCTTTCTACGATATGGCTAAGAAGCTTGATTGGGTGCGCTTGCAGCCACATCTGAACGCAGGCAATTCGCACCTCGGGAGAAATCTGCCACAGGGGCGGCTCGTTCGAAAAAGAACCAGAGAACTCAGTAATCAGGCTCAATTTTGGTCTTTTTTCTTTGAAATATCAGGGGAACAAATTATCTATGAAATATCAGTTCAAAAGAGAATTGACAAGATATTTTGAAATTGTCGAATTTGAGAAATAATTTCGAGCAATGCTTTGACTAAGATTTTCTTGTACATGGAGTTTTTATTTCTTAGCAAGTGTGCGAAAGTCGTCGTGAAAGATAGACAACTGAGGAATCATATTTATTTAGCATGATCACTGACATAGATTTTGAAGACATCTCATGGGTGAAACTGGATCCTTGAAATCTGGTAATATGTGTACCAAATGATGAATTTTTCTTGAGCCAGATTTTTTGGGTCCGATTGCATGAAACTAAGGAGAAGTCTAGCATTCATAAACATAAATCATACCAACATTGAAGTCTCAGTGAAAAATCAAAAGGTCAGCCTCCTTTACTTCGAAAGTCTCGGTTTATGAATATGCGATTTTCGCATTATGAGTGCAGAGAAAACAGAGTGGCTGACTTTAACACCCCGAGTCTTCACAGAAACTTGGAAGAGATAGAAAAATTGAAAAATAGCTTGCTTTGAAAAGTCTTGAAATTCTCGGGAAATGTTGGGTATAGTTCACAATAATTTCATCCAAGAATAGCCGAGCAGCTGAAATGCCTTAGGCAAGTGTTTCAGTAAAGGTCGACAACCTAATCTTCCTTGAGCATACTCATAGAGACTGGGTCACGATAATGACGTGCTTATACAGAAAAAGTGATTTTCTGGCGGTTGGAATTCTCTGAATTCCAAACATTGACCAATCCTCAAACAAGTTTACGGTTTTGACTTCGTCGTTGCAGAAGTCGAAAAACTTGACTATGAACTAGACTTGCTTCGACAAAACTCAAGTATATCCAGTTGATACTGGTAAGTTGGAACCTTCCCAGTATTTCATACATCAAAAATTTGTATTTTTATGTGAGTAGCGTGGGATCGCTTCCTCTATACAGTCTTAAGCATTTTGACCACCTCGGGTGAAGGTGATTCCTCGACTCAATCGATATGTGGATGGCATTTGTTATTTTTTGTTTGGGCGACAAAACTTCTGCCAAAAGCCATAATTGTAATTTTGAAAATTTTTGAATAAAATTTTTGAATTTCTTTCAAAAATTCTCAAATGTGCACAATTTATTTAATAACTAGGAGAATATATGGTTTCTTGATAGTCGCAAAATTTGTCTAAATTAAACTCAGGATAAAAAGACTTCGTGAAATAATGTTGCTCATGTAAAAAAGAATAGTTGTGGATCTTTGAAATATTGAAAAATAAATGTGGATTTGAAAAATTTTAACATAGAAATTCTTTAAATTCGATCGAATTATTTCAGTTTCTTCTTTTTCGATCAAGAAATCTCCAAATTGTAGTGCCGAAATTGATCGCTCAGAGCAAAGGGGCACATGACCCATTAAAATTTTTGGAAATTATGTTAATGGCTCATCTGCCCCGCTTCATTTTCACTGGCATCACAGCAAACGAAGAGCAGAAGTTAAAATCTGAATTAAATCGGTCAAATGGCTGACTTTGGAATTTTCTGTTTTTGAATTTTCAAAATTTCTAAAAAAAATTTTCGTAATTCAAACACCAAAGCAATTTTTTGATCTGAGCAACATTATTATTTCATGAGGTCACGTTCGTCCTAAATTCACTACAAATTTTGCGATTATTGAGCAATATTCTCCCGATCAATCGATATCTGGATGACATCGTCGATAACTTAGCTCCTTTGGTCATGGCGTGTGTCACTTGGGTGGAGGTATTCTTAACCATCTCCATTCAGTAAACTGCTTAGATGATGAGAGAAGAATGCATGATCTTGCGATGCCAAGCTGTCTGATCTATACAATTTCCAAAAATATGGAAATTTCCCATTTGAGGGTTCAAAAAATCTCGATATTTTTTAAACTACCGTTTGGCTTCCGACGGAAGTCTTATGGCCTACCCAAAAAAATGAAGTATCGAACATTTTGTGAAGAAGACGATCTAGTATAAAAATATGAAGATATGACAAAATGTTCTTGCCATCAGTTTCTGTTAATTATTTGAAAAATGAAATGAAATAGACCAAACGGTTCTTCCAGGAGCACTTCAAATAAAAGTAAAGTCTCGAACGGGTTGATTCGAATTCTCTGTTCCCTAATTAGCTTAGCCGCGAACACATGCTTTTAGGTGCGAATCCAACTGTACGGGGATCTGGGTGCAGGAGCACCCAATTAGGGATATGGCAGCTGTAATTAAGATAGAAGAAAAAATGAGGGACATATAGGTTATGCTAAGATATTCAATTCATACATTTTTAAGTAGCATTTTTCACGGAGGTTCAGAATACGTGGAAGTTGGCAGCTTTGAAATAACACTAGATTTGGCCGAAATTTGCGGAAATCTGATCTTTTTTTTGCACACTTCCACCGATCACCAGACGGTCCTTTTCTCAAAATCGGATATTCTAAGATCAGAAATTAGAACAGCAGGTACCACTTAGAGCATAGCCGAAGTTTTGACTCTTCAATCATTCTATCTTTTGTATTACGGTCTTGGAAATGAGGCACCACATTGTCAGTGGAGCATGCGCACCTCATTTCAAGTGCATGTATCTTGAAGAAATTTAAATATAATAGTCTCAATTCAATTCATTCGTTTAGAGCATTACTTGAGCTATACCAATTCCAAACCATTTCGATTTAGACATGCGGCATCAAAAATTATAAGTCATTGAAATCCGTACCTCGCATCTGCGAGATGATCTATCCACGGACATCCAAATCAACCTACATCATGGTTAATAGAGGAATTTATTGACAAAGCATTTCTATGCTTACTTTACTTATGTTACGAAGTCATCTTTTCGAATTATCCGTTTTTTTTTTCAAAAAAATGAATTTGATCTTTCAAATCGAAATATTCGTGAAGCCGTAATTGATTCTAGAATTATGAGCCAGACTACAAATTCTGTGTTTTCAACAACAACATCATGGGTAGTTATCATACTGATAACTTTGATAATAAATCGATACAATGAGGTCACTGTAGCTATAGTCAGAGCCAGTCCGATTAATTAGGGCACTACGAGGGACCAAAAAACGTGGAAAAAATTTTTGGGATTTTTCAGACTTTGAGGATATCCTCAGATTGCTCGGAACTCGTTTGTTCTGAATACCAAAATTGGAATTTGATAGAGAAAGCATGAAGAAAGTTACACCGATTCGGCTTTTCCGACGCGACATGGCGTTCATATCGTCGCCTATTTCGCTAGATATTGTAAAAAAGTACCAAGACAAAACATTTTGCAAAATTTGA